TATGTATGTATGTATGTATAAATTTTAGGAGAAGGTCTCTATCTTGAAATTTTTTGGAAATGGTAATCAATCAAGTTTTTTGCTCTCTTAATCTATCTGATTAACTGAAATCTAAGATAACTTTTACTTTGTTCTCATTTATCTTAGATTGAGAATTTGTCCAATAAATTTGCTAAAAACATTTGCTATCCAAATTGGTAATGACTTTAACAATTAATGTATATTGAATCTCAACTAAATCAAAATATATTTGATAAGGGACCACCTGGCCAGCATTGGTGCAGCCCATAGTCATGCAAGGAATTATTTGGGAGATTTGGATCAAGCGCCAAAGAGTTTTGCCCTTTTGGAGCTCGTGAGCTCCATAAGGCACCTTTGAGGGTAAGGGAGACCCAGCGAACTTATGAGTCCTTGGTTCCCATACTCCTCAACCAATGTGGGACTAAATGACCTTATTAGTGACCCCCCCCCCCCCCTCACAGGGGAGCCAAGGGCTCAAGGCCTCATGGTGGGCGCCAATCTGTTAGTTAACAAAGGTACCGTAACTGATGAGTCAGCACGGTTAGGCCCACATGCCGACGTCGGGAACTTCTGGTGGGAATACGAGGGTTGACTTTCCAAGGTCCGCCGACCCCGAGCTTCGTTTATAGGAAGACGTGTCTGCTCGTCTCTAGGATAGATGGTGACCTTCTTCACCACGCGGGCTCCTCTTTGGAATGGGAGACGAGACTGGCACATGTCAAATCCGAGCCATTAGGTCGCCCTCCTCTGCGTATTGGGAGACGACTTTGGGGTGAAGGTTCCTGTGGCTTGATGACGACCACCTCCCTGCAAAAAGGCCTTCATCAGGTGTGTCCCGACTTTGGCCCCTCCGACAAGCAAGTTAGATTGGTTTTTATTCCCTTTTTTTTCCTCCTCCTCCCTTCCTGGATCAGGTCGAGGGTATTTTGTTAGGACTCTAGCTAGGAGAGTCCTAATTGAGAGGGACATTCTGTTAGGACTCTAGCTAGGAGAGTCCTAATTGAGAGGGACATTCTGTTAGGACTCTAGCTAGGAGAGTCCTAATTGAGAGGGACATTCATGTAGGAGGTTTTTTCTTAGAGAAGAATTAGGAGTTGTAAGGGAATAGGAGTGTTGAGTAGGAGTCCTACTAGGAGTTGGTTAGAAGTAAGAGTCTTAAGTAGGAGTCCTATTAGGAGTTAGGGTTTAGAAGCTCTATAAATAGCCATGTATTCCTTCTCTTTTCATAAGCAATAGATGAATCTTTTCTGCAGCCTTTGAACAGCAACTTGGAGGGAGGAACCCCTATAGAGTTCCAAGGAGGTCGATCTCCTAAAGAGATCAACCCCAAGTTTATAATCTGCAAGGGTTCTAACATATTTATACCAGCGTACGGGAATTGGTCGGGCCCTGGTCCGGCATGGCCGTTGACTCTAGGGGTAGAACAACCTCTCTAACTAGATGACATCTTCAGGGGTGCTTGAGCGGCGTTAGACGGCACTACCCTAACAGCAGACGGCACCGCCCCTAGTTCTTGGGGTGGTCAGGCTGCACAGTCGTACCGTTGGAGCTTGACGTGACGTGCACCCCGCGCTTCTGGAGGCGTACGATGTCGTGTCGATCTACAACGTCTGTCGATGGTTCACATAGGGCCAAAATACACCCTATCAACATTTAAAATGAGTTCCAATATAACTATTGATTTCGATTGGAGTTTCAACATAATTAATGAGTATGCAACACTTATGATTCCCGGATATCATGCAAGCTTGGAAAATAATTACTCTATTCACTTGGGTGGATGACCAACGAACTCCATGGCGAAAGGACACCGAGGTGTTATTGGAGACGTTTTCCTTGTGCAAATACGTGGGAAAAGTGGAGATTTTTGGGGGCTCAAATCACCTCTCTTTTAACCCTCTCTTTGAGGGCTACTATGTTTCATTGCTTTGTCTTCACGTTTGTCACATCCAACCACACTTTGTTGCTTTCAAACATCAGCGTGTTGAGTGGGTCTCTCATGTCAGGGAAGTGCATTCGGCCACATTACTTTTTGTGTGTGACCTACAAACCTGGTTTTATTCATATTACTGGCATGAGGTGATTAGGAACTCTCCGATCATTCATGTGCTAAAATACACACTGCACATTGGATTCAGATTGTGGTCCATTAAATAGAAGCACAAGATATTTCTCACCACATTCCGCTATATATATATATATATATATATATATATATATATATATATATATATATATATAAACTCTTTGTCACGAGTTTATACTCTTGTAAGTTCTGCAAAAGATTGAGTGGATTTGATCTATAAAAATACTTATAATTAAATTAAGTTGATAAACTTCAATATGGACTTGCATCAAATTAAAATATTAAAATTATAATTAATATTAATGATATGAGAAAAGATAAAAGAAGCACTAAAAAGACTATAATAGAAGTAATAAAAAATAATTAATTTTTTATTTAACTAGAGATACTATCTTCTAGCCCGAGGGAAAAAAAATATAAATCTCTTCAAAAAATATTTTCTAATTTTTTCCTTAAAATAATAAAAAACTTTCACTATAATCCAATCTCATTTGTCTATTATTTGTTTTTTTAGGTGCCATCATATGTCGTCTGGACGTGAGATTTTAAACTCTCGACCCACAGGAATGTATTTTAAGAGCATTGATATGATAGAATTTTTTTTGAGACTTAATTAACTGAGTTTTAGGGTCAAAAAATCCATGCTATATAGACTATGTGAGAACAGATGGATTTAAGATATATAAAAAATCCCGTGGCCATGTGGAATAATTTGTGTTACGCGTAAAAGCCTTTGAACTTTCTCGGTCAGTTCCAAGCACATGCCTCACATTCCCCCCTTTCACTACCACTACAAGCTGCCACTTCTTCCTCTCTGGATTCAACCGTGGTGACTCGGTCAACTTCTCTCTCTCTCTCTCTCTCTCTCTCTCTCTCTCTCTCTGTGTTCTCGAGCAGAACGCGCTATTCTTCCACCTTCCTCGTGTTCATATAAACCCTCCACTTGATTCTGATCCCTCCACCCTCACTCTCCAAGCAACCTCCCTCGCTCGCTATACTGCCCACAGATTTCATTCTTCTTCTTGCTCAAGCTTGATTCGTCCACTGCTTCAAAGTGAGCTGGCTCTGAAACTGAGCTGCCTTCGCCATGCAGAATGATGGCACAGGAAGTGAGCTGAGGAGCACTCTAATGGCCGAGCTAGCTCGGGCTCTGCAGCTAGTGAGTCAGCTGCAGTCCCATCTGGATCACCCTTCTGCCGCTGAGCTCTGTAAGTCTTTAGCGACCGAAATACTCTCCTCCATCGGGAAGTCGATTCTCATGGCGAAGTCCGGCGATCCCGACGGCGATCTGCAGGCCGGCAACAGCCCTCGCAGCGAGAACTCCAGCCCGGCGTTCAGGGACCCCGGTCGTAGGGACTTTATGAAGAAAAAGTGCGTCTTTGACTCCTTTGTTCTCTGAGAGCTCCGACTTCTCTGTCACCCGATCATGTTTTGACATGGATTCAGCTCGGCTTGTGGCAGGAAGACGATGCACAAGTTGACGAACCAAGTGAGGCTCATCCCCGGAGTTGGAGGAGTCGAAGGCCCTGTGGATGACGGCTATAGCTGGAGAAAGTACGGACAGAAGGATATCCTGGGAGCCAAGCATCCGAGGTCAGGATTCGAAACCCAATGCTACCAAGTTTGAGATCCATGACAAGCTCTTGCTCTGTTCTCATCGCCATCCATGTGTTTGTGTCCGTGCTTGTTCTTCGTCTTGCAGAGCTTACTACAGGTGCACGCACCGCAGCTCCCAGGGATGTCAGGCGACGAAGCAGGTACAGCGGTCGGGCGAGGATCCCCTGGTGTTCGACGTCACCTACCTCGGGACGCATACGTGCCTCCAAAGGCCACAGAGAGCCCCGACATCGGCATGCCTCGGACATCAATCAAGCTACACACTTGAGATGGAAGGCGTACACTGTGAGGAGGAAGCTTGGGGACTGACCTCTCTTTCCTATGGATCCATGGCGGTAATGGGTGACACAGCAGCCGACCTCTTCTCCTCCCTTTCCTCGCCGCCTGCCTTCTCGTCACCGTACCAGATCAGTAGCTTCGATGGCGGCATGAAGCTGCAGACTTCAGACTCCGACATCGCCGAGATGATATCCAGAGGCGATTCAGCAAGCAATTCGTCCCTGGTGGACATGGCTTTCATGCTCCCGGAGATGGACTTCGCCCAGAACTTTCAGTTCGATGCCCCCGGTTTTGATTCGTGCAGCTTCTTCTCATGAACATCCATCTCCTCAAGCTGGTGATGTAGGTAGAAACAGAGGGAATCACCATGGTTGTTCTCTCCATGAATTCAAAGATCAACTAAGAATGCTTGCCGCAATCAATTAGTGTAAAGAAAATAGAGTCAGGAACAGGGAATTCTTACAAGATAAAAAAGTATGATACAGAAAACATCAAAATTTATCTTCCTAAAGTCGGAGAAGAGCGACTGGTTTGCCATGGCATATGCCTCATCCAAAGCAAAAAGTTCTTGGCATTGGCTGTTTGTCGTGGTGGCAGTGGAGATCACTTTGTCCTGCAGTGTGAGATAGGAAATACGCACACTTTTGCCCTGAAATAGACATCCAAGTCACATGAATGTACAAGAAGCACTAATATCTGTATCTAACATAAACACAACATTCAGTGGACCAATGAGGGATAGATCTTTAATAGGGCAGAAATTGGAGAGAACTGTTAATCTAAACAGTTGCTTCAGCATGAAGATTCGAAAGAGAATGCAGTGGGTCATTAGGGAGAAGAAGCTGAAGTTGCCAGGTGCTGATACATGTTTAAGATGGATCTCTGCATCACAATCACAATCTGAATGACTCCTATCTTTCTTTTTTAAGATTACAGTATACTTAGCATCAGGCTGTCAATAAGATTACAGCAACAAGATTATATCTAGCCGACTCGCATCGCCTCCTTGGTAAGTAGTTCAGATAATATGCAAATGCTCGTCTCTGAATTATGTCCTTTGTATTTGACTCTGGAGAAGATTGCAGACAAAGGCCTTCCGGTGATCCATCCCATCTTGCAAAGAGTGACTTGAGCTCACAGATCTCTTGTACCAAATTAGAATATACTAAGTGATTGCTGGGGAAGGGTCTCCGCATCGCATGATTAAGAAAAAAGAGAGTGGTTTCAGAGTGAGCAATAGGAAAAATATATTCAGACATAAAAGGTTCTGAAAATAAAAAAGAAAATCTGAAGCCTCTTACAATTCAACAACATGATAAATTACATAGCTGTCAATCAATTTAGGGTACAATTTGACGAGACCACTTGCTCAAGAAAAGAACAATCTTCTGTGGAAAAGAAGCATCATATATGACAAAGCTTTTGTTACACCAGGTCACAACTGTGTTTCTTTGTTCTGCAGACGTAACAGCCTGAAGCTTCCTTATAACAAAGAGGTTGATCCTTAGCAATATACACAATCAGCGCTTTTACCTTATTTAGAACTTTATCTATTAGTTAACAGTCTGTGAGGGAGACAAAAAAATTTTTCTGATGAAAGAGACTGCTGCAGTTAAATAGTGTCTCACAAAGAAACAAAGGAATTGCAGATTTGGCATGATGTAACCAAAGACAGCAGAGATTGCAACTGTTGTGAGCATGTTTACAATTGTAAAAAGATCATTGTTATTTAATTAGAATATAAATAAAATAATTATATCAATGACAGTGTCAAAAACGTTAAAAAAATATAGCTGTATGACATCAGCTACAAAAGAATTAAACTATTCAAACATTGACTGTGTGATTTCCCATTTTCTTATAAGGTATTTTTTTTATCTTTTTATATTTAAAATCTTTAACTTAATTGTGGCAAAAAAGGAACAGACTGTTCCATACACTAATTGCACATGGACCAACCATATTTACATAATGATTCTAGAGGTCAAAATAGTATTTTAAGCAACATCAGCTGAAAAACCTGCTTTTCTCATGTAACTAAACTAGATAAGAAGTATTGTCTACCAATTGTAAAGAATTAAACGAAGAAGATAGAAAGATAAAAATTGTAGAAGAAACTATGAAATGTATGAGATGTAATTGCCTAGTTCATTTAGATAGTGAGCTCTCGATAGCTATTTATACACATTCAGCAGGGAGGATTTTTCTCAACTGCTTAGAGATTTCCTCAACTGCCTTGAGGAAATCTTATCTGCTTATCATGCCCCCGCAAGATTGAGCTTCCATCAAGGATGCCGATCTTGGACCGATGAGATGAAAATAGTTTACGGGTGAGAGGCTTTGTGAGTGAGTCTGCTAGTTGATCAGCTGTATGTACATGAGAAACACGGAGTTGATGTCTGACAACTTGATCTCGCATGAAGTGGAAGTCGATGGCAATGTGTTTCATGCGGGAATGAAATACTGGATTGACACATAAGTAGGTAGCTCCAATATTATCACAATATATTGTAGGAATAACTGTGGAGTTGACGTTGAGTTCCTTGAACAGATTTGTGACCCAATTGAGTTCAACAGCGGCGGTGGCGATGGCACGGTATTCAGCTTCAGTTGTATATCGTGCAATCGTCTTTTGTTTTTTAGAACTCCAACTGATTGGAGTAGCTCCAAGGAAGACAATGTACCCTGACGTAGATGTTCTATCATCAAAGTTCCCTGCTTAATCAACATCAGCAAAGACATGGAGATGGAGTGAAGTATTTTTGTGAAGAAAAATGCCATGATTAAGAGTCCCTTTAAGATACCGCAAAATTCGTTTGACCGCAGACCAATGCGTAGTAGATGGTCGATACATGAATTGCGATAATTTATTATATGACCGCAGACCAAGGCATGGACGTTTGACCGTAGACCAATCCCTGTAAGGAGCCAAGGACTCGTCGATATTGAGTCGAATATGTAGCAGGACTTCCATCACATAATTTAAGTGATTCACTGGTAGAGAGAGGAGTTGTAACCTCTTTCGCATCCTGCATGTTTGTCTTTGATAATAAATCTTGAATATACTTTCTTTGTGATAGGAAGAGACTTGAAGATGTAAATGTTGCTTTCACTCCCAGAAAGTAGCTTAAAGTTCCTAGACCTTTGAGGGAGAATCGATCGGCCAAGTACTTTAGAAATGTATGAGTCTTCAAAGGATCATTTCCTGTGACAATAATATCATCCAT